GAGGAGAACTGTTAAGAGACTTCCTAGGATTTGCTGATGCGCTTGTATAATAGCAAGGTGAAATGGACTCCACCATCAGACACGATAGAAGAGAACATACCATGATGATCGCTTAAATAAATATCAACATCAACACAGTGACTGAAGACATTGAGGAAAGCAATATTAGATGTACCATCATAGCGACTGGTCAACAACCACCCAGATCACAGTGCAGCCCTCAGAGGAGAGCAAGTCAGTAATGAAGCTCATGATAGGGATGAGCTAAGTATTTGGTCTGGATCTAAGATCAGACTGAACATTCGCTGTTCAGATGAATCGAAAACTTTAAGGATGTTTGGCATTTGACAAAAATTCCTCTGGTGAACGATTCTTAATGAACTACCAAGGCCATCATTGACCCAAGTCTAGTACCTGTGAGGTCCATAACTCTAGCCAATGACAGGGGCGGACTGACAACTCATGGGGCCCCCGGGCAATAGGGGATCATGGGGCCCCTGTGTCCTTGCCCAAACTCAAAAAAGCCTATGAAAAAAGGTACCAGGGGCATCTCATGGGACCCCCTACTGACCTGGGGCCCTCGGGCAGTGCCCGAGTTTCCAAAAGGTCAGTCTGCCCCTGGCCAATGATGATTTCAGCTAAGTTGCAGCCCACACACTATTAAAGACTGCTCTCCATTGACAGCGTGTCAGAGATTACTGAGAGTGAGGGATGGCTGGACATTGATTTGTAGGGAGAGTTGGCTAGTGAATTGCAGTTTTTGTGACTAGGGAGAGTGGAGTCCCACCTGCATTCATTGTAATATCGAAAAAAATCAAACCTGCGCTTAGATTAATATACAAAATTAAAAAAGATTATAAATAAAAATAAAAAATCTTCTCGCATAAAAGGCAATATACAAATAATAAACAGTGAGAAATGCAGCGCTAATCTATATCATAATAGATAATCAAAGTCCAAATAGTAAAAAACAGTTTGGCTATATTGCACAAAGAGGAGTTTGGCACAATACACCATCACCAAGGCACCAGAATGAATAAGCCCCTTACCGGACGTTCTGACCGAAACACACCGGTCAATAAACGCAATCCAAAAAAGGGATCAGTAATGCAGATGATGAATCTGACAATCCTCCCCAGGATAAGATTCAATCTTCCTTTCATAAGATCTTTAAAGACCTTAAAAAAGACTCCCATCCAGTAATCAGATGAAGAATATGAAAAGAAGACCACACATAGTGTAGTATTTTGATATTAAAAACAAACCAATGTAATACAAGTTCCACATACATCAATATAAATGGTTACCAGCATTGAACAAAGTTTCCAACCAGAAACATGGCCGCCGTCCCTCCAGAACGTGGTGACGTCACACGCCGAAGCTCCACCCTGTAATATCCTAGAACACAACAGCCCTTGTTAAGACTACATTTTTGTGTATGTCAGCAGCAGGTTCCGTTACTTTGCTGCTCTCCCTCTGTTGTTTATTTTGGGTATTTCTTTAATATTACTTTTACTGTTCTATAAAAAATGTTTTTTAAAAGGTGATATATTTTGCTTTAGTGTTTTCGGGCAGGTATTGTTTTTTTTTTTTACAGTCTTTGCATTTGAGATTTATTTTTTACACCTTTACAAACATATTACACTTGTATTTAGGGTGTAACTTGTAATGTTGTTAAGCACCCTTACACCAACCTCAGAGTCCCCCATGACAGCGGGTGCAATGCTTTGTAGGCTCCTGTGGAAAAACAAAAAAATACATATTTTTTCCTGCATAAATATATGCATCTATTTTTTTTATTAAAGTAATTTGTAACCTTTAAATTGTAAGCAAAAAACATTTATTTGCCTTTTTTATTAAAAAAGAAGCTGGCAAATGGACCCCCCTCCAAAGGTCCCCCAAATATTTTAGGGGACCTTTAGAGAGGTCTGTTTGCCTTTTTTAAAGAGAAGCTAGAAGGGAAATGTTATTTGTCAGCAATTAAAACTATTTGTAATTTGTAAATGTCAGTGCTTTAAAAAAAAAAAAAAAAACATCACTCCCAAATGCATTAGGGATCTAGTGGAAGAAATGAACCTCCTGTAAATTTCAGGTGTATAGCACCTCAGGATCACATGCGTAGCTGCTTGTCTTAAATATAAATGTCTTTCTTTTCTGTCTAAAGCAAATGGAAACAGAGCTGCCACCAGCAAACAAAACTGACCTGACTTCATCAACACGACACAAAGTCCACTTGTCTTCAGCACAAATTTAAGGCACACAAAGTTCATGTAGGAATTTACCTAAAGTTAGAAAAGTCCAGTTTAAAAGGATAAGTTTACTTTTTAGAAAAAAATAATAAATGCACTTTTTTTTTTTGAAAGTAAAAAAAAATGTGCATTTATTATTTTTGTCTGCAGGAAAGCATTGCACCAGCTATCAGTAGATCGCTGATGCCATGCAGGTCTCCTGCAGACCTGTCAGAATATATGCTTCCCGTACGGGATGTTCACAAGTAAGCAGATATTCTGACAGGAAGAATGAATGAACTACCATGGTGCTTCGTGGTGCTGTGGTAGTTCATTGAGGACAACAAGCTGACAGACACTGAGACTATTGGGACTTGTAGTCTCTCATTCACAGATGATTGATTGAGAATGAGTGACGCACCGTGTGGGCGGAGCCCTGCTTTTTTAAACTTTGACAGCTAGTGAGGTGGGAGAAGATCCCCTGCTAGCTGTCAAAGCGGGGATCGGGGGGGGGGGGGAAGGGGGGGAAGAGTGGGGGCCGGTCTGAACTCAACATGTTATAAGCTGAATATGGGTGTAACATGTAACATGTTATGAAGGGTGAACTTCTCCTTTTAGCTGTTTGGCATCTTCCAGCACATATGACGCACTCAGACACGTGTCTCCTCTCCCAAACTCCTACTACTCTACATCCAGCACTAGGAGCTCCATGTCCTAAGTGCTGCTTCCTGGAGGCTGCTTAACCCTCTCTTGGGACCAGAATCTCTGTAATCAGGGGTGGAGGTTCTTTCCCATCCGAATGTCACTCTAAACATCCAAAATTCTGGCTCCCAAATAGGCAATTATTAATGAAGAGAACCATTAGTCAGTCCTCTCCTCTATACTTGACTGTCCACCAACCATTTCCCTTAAAGGGACCATAACCCAAATATAGGCGACACATAGCGCCCATCCAGGACCCATCCTCACCATCCTGTACATTTTCTATCTGAACATTTCACTTTCACATGTATCATCACATGCTTTATCACTTTCCATATCCCCCAAGTCTACTACCCATCCTAAAATCTGGCAATTCCACACATCACCTACCTCTCCAAGCAATGGAAAATCTTTATTATATAATATACTCCAAGGTTAAACTGTTGTTTGCTCCCATGGTACAATGAGACCTGCACCCCTCCCAATGGCTCAAAGCCTTCAATTCTATACATACGGCTTCTCATTGTGTAAAGCATTGGGAAGTAGCACAAAAGATAATTCTCCGATGATACTATACCCCTTACTGATTCTCTACATTCTCCTCCTCCAGCTCACCTTTATGGCAGGAGTGCGGTCATACAGGCACTTATCTATCACATACTGTGGTCCTGTAAATCCTGATTGTCTTCTGTGGAAGATCTTCCAGCTCACCTCTGATATCTCTGGAATACTAACACAACCCGGCCCTGCTTCGGTGTTACTGAATCTAGAAATCGAGAGATTTCCACTCAACTCTCGTACGACAGTCATTCATATTTTACTGCCGGCTAGAACTACTATACTGAGACACCGAAGATCGCAGCCAATCCGGCTGAAGCTCTCAACTTAGTCAATTACCTGCAGGAAGATCATTGTCATTCAGCTCTGCATCATACACTTTAAAAAGCAATGGTGAATTTGGGGTGAATGGTGCAATGTGAGCTGCTGAACTAGAATACTCGTTATATGTCATCTACTGTAATTAGGATACGTTATTGTGAGCTCATCGCTTACTCTTCACAATGTGCATTGGAGACATCTCTGTGCAAGCTGTTCATGTTCCGGTTCTCAAAATCTCAATAAAAAATGATTGTTAAAAAATAAATAAATCACTGCTCTGGCCAAATGGAATAGATTTTTTTTACATTTTGCACTGGTACATGTTCCCCAGGGCAGTGTCCGCCCATGCTAATTTTTTGTTTGTTTACAACCCTATGCCTATTAGCCCAGAAAATGGGCATTTTTGTATTTCATTTTGCTCTCATTGATTTCATTGGGGTTTGGGTTCAGCATCTTGTGAAGTTCACTGATCCCAGCTCAAACCAAACCCGGGGCAGTTTAGCTCATCCCTATGTGGGACATGTACCAATGTAATACTAGAAGCACAGGATAGTACAGGATACACTCACCGGACACTGTATTAGGTACACCTTGCTAGTGCCAAGAAAATCTCCCCCACACCATGACACCACCATCAGCCTGAAGCATTGATACAAGGCAGGATGGATCCAAGCTTTCATGTTGTTTACACCAAATTCTGACCCTACATCTGAATGTTGTAGCAACCAGTCGGCCCATTCTCCTCTGACCTCAACAAGGCACTTTTGTCCACACAACTCCAGCTCACTGGATATTTTCTCTTTTTCGGACCATTCTCTGTAAAGCCTAGAGATGGTTGTGCATGAAAATCCCAGATCAGCAGTTTTTGAAAAACTCACACCAGCCAGTCTGGCATCAACAACCATGCCACGTTCAAAGTCACTTAAATCCCTTCCCAATGATGCTCAGTTTGAATTTCAGCAAGTCTTCTTCACCACGTCTAGATGCCTAAATGCACTGAGTTACTGCCATGTGATTGGCTGATCAGCAATTTGTGTTACCAAGCAATTGAACGGGTGTACCTCATAGTGTCCAGTGAGTGTAATACAGAATGTCTCCTTATACAGAATAGTCCTTTGTGTAGAGGAGTGTGTTGTGCACAGAATAATATTTAGCACCATATACATAATTGGGTGGAAGGATAGTCCTCACCTCTAGTCTGATTAAATTGGCTCATCACTGTCCGCAAATTGTGTTTGGAATCCACCTCTATTAATTGGTTTCTTTGTGTCTCTCTCTCCCAGTATTCCGCTTCCACTTTCTTCATCCACTCAGTCTTGGGAAGATACTGACGAGTGTCGCTGTTATAATTTGTTATTTCTCGATCGTCCACATATCCGACTTCAGAGTACACCGGGAGCCCGGACCCCGGAGAGGTGACTGCAGTGGTATAATACTGAAGAGAGTGACTGTCTGGGAGACAAAGAGAGAGACATACAGACTGTTATACATCACATCTCATCTAATATATGAATACAGACTGAATCCTGCAACATAGAAATGGCCAGACATACACAGGCAGATCTGTCAGTGACTGGAAAGCTTTTACCATCTATGTATACAGCGAGGAGCTCTTTAAGAACTCAGAATTGGCCATCTCTATCTCTTCCACAGTACAACCAGCCTGATGAATTTTTTCCATAGCTGCTGCCAGTTGTCATTGTGTTCTGTTGACAGGGAAGGCTCCCCGCGGCAGAACACAATAGCACTGCAGGAGGGATTCCCCCATCAACACATTTCCTGTGGCTGCGGGAAAGTAAATTGCTTAATATATAGCCTGCCTTTGCCCAAATGACAAAACAAAAGCCGACTTGTCTTCTCAGGTGTTCTGTACATCCCCAAACAAGCAAATGTGCCCTGACATGGACTACACTTAACAGAGAAGTATGATTAAAAATCATACTTCCCTAGGTGGATGCAGCATCTGCCCCCCGCCGACTCTAAGGCCCCTTTCACACGGGTGTTCTGTATGTCCGTTTTTTTATCTGTCTGTTTACGAATTAAAAACGCACACCCATGTATTTCTATGGACTAGCAGATGTAAACGGATGATCATCTGTTTACATCCATTAATGTCTGCATCCGTTAACATCCGTTTTTTTTTAAGGGACGAAAACCCTATTTTTTTTCTGTTAAAAAAACGGAACAGACTTAAAACGGATGTAAACTGATGAAAAACTGATGTGAACTGATCCGGTTTTTCTTGGAAAAAACGTGACTGAACTGATGAAAAAGTGTAACGCCCGTGTGAAAGGAACCTTATGCTGGCCATAGACGGGTCCAAAATCGGACAATTTTTCGGCCGGAAAAAAAAATTGCCAGATTTTCGCTCCGTTAGTGGGTTAATTTGTTGGCCGTTTTTTTGGGGTTTTTGCACATTTTTTTATTGGGTATGTTGGAAAATTTGCGGCCGATTTTGACGATCGGCCGATTTTCCCAGCAATGATGGGCAAATTGGCCGATCGTTTTAAAAAAAAAAAAAAAATGCGCATGAGCCGTGACCTGCAAGAAGAAGAAAAAAAGAAGAAGAAGAAGAAAAAGAACAAGAATTCCAGTCCGCTATTATATTTTAGATGAAAAGTATTGCAGTTGCAACAAATGTATCCATTTGTATCCAAATAAAAACATCTGTATCCAAAATGGATACAAATGGATACATTGTTGCAACCACAAGACTTTTCATATAGAATATAATAGCGAACTGGAATTCTTAGGGACAGAAATAATTATGGGGTTAAATGCCGGCCATAGACGGGGCGAAAATTGGCCGATTTTTTTTACCATTGGTGGTAATGTTGGCCCATCGAACAACCATTTTTTTTTTTTTTTTTTAATGGCCTGCTTTAGGGTGAGGACTCAGCGATCACATGACCTGATCGATCGCCCACTGCTGTTGTGAGCTGAGAACAGTAACTGTCAGTCACCACTTCTGCTCCGCCCCCCCTGCACTCACTGGAGCGCAGTGCTGTGAAGGGATTGGCTGGTCCAGGCTGAGCCAGGTGCCGGTCCATGCTCTGGGGTGGATCCCAACCATATGGTCATGATCCCTCCCCAGCCAGGACCGGCTCTGTGATGTCACCCAACAGCAAGCTTCAGCCCAATGTCAGCTGACAACATATCACAGGAGTGCAAAACAAACTGCTCTCCTGGGATCCATAGGAGAAGTAGAGCCAAAACAGTTGCTTGTACGTCTCCTTTAAGTACACCGGACTGAACAAGGCCTTAGAGAGTAAATCCACTTTTGTTGAGAAAGTAAGCATTCCCCTCCGGGTGATCTCTGTACATTGCAGGGAGTTTAACAAACTTTGTTGCAGATTCCTTCCTTTTGTTATTCTGTAGAAATAGCTGATTGTTTCTCTGTGTCATGTGCACAATGAATCTGTATGGAAGTGATTTCCCACAAATCAGCTGCTGCATTTGCAGGATTCTAATAAGGAAAGTGGCAGGGTCTGCATCTCTTTTAGTAGTGACTTTCTTTGGGACTATCTCACCAAAAATGAAGTTTTTGTTGCAGGGGATGCCCAAAATCTGACTTGTATTTTAGTGAGGGAAAATCAGTAAGCCAATCACACAAGCAGGAAATGACATTTCTGGGGGTTTCTGTGCACTCTTGCAATATGGCTACTCTCCAGGTAGCCATATTGCATTGCATTTTACAGAAAATCACAGCCCTGCAGTAGAAGCAATCTCTACAAATATTACATCATGACTTGTGTAGTAATTGTATATGCTGTATATTTTTTTATTTCATATTTAAGTTACCATTTAAGGTTTGGGGTTCAATTAAACTGATTATGGGAATGTCTTTTCCCTTTCCCCCCACCCCCCGCTTTCTGTACATGTGTATGTACTCTGTATGTAACCTGTATGTTACCACCTTTACCTCCATTATCCGGCACATTACCTACCTGATCTCCATCCTTCCACTGTATGTGACCTCCATATTAACCACTTCCCCTCCTCCTCCCTCTGTGTATGACCTGTATATTAGTGATGTCCTGCATCTAGCGCACCATTACCAGGGGCCATGGTTTATCCACCTCAATGCCAACTTGTTTCTTCAAGTCCTCTTCCAAATATTTGGGGCAAAAAATGAGATCACCTTCGGATGTCCATTTTTCAAGAAAGGGCCATTTTGGGGATGTTTGGACTCTTCTGTCACTTTTATTCAATGTGTTTTATACCAGAAAGTAAGAGAAGTGTTTTTTTTAAATGTTTTGGTAATTTAACTTTATACAATAAAAAAAAAAAAAAAAAAGCGATTAAGGAAACTTTGTCTCAACCTCTTCAATACTGGACACTCAGTCATGTAACACTGCACCCAAATTACATTTCTATCTTTTTTTTTGACAGATAGAGCTTTCATTTGGTGGTATATAAAGTGTTACTAATCCCACAACAGTAAAATCAGTCTGTATATGCAGTATATAATCTTGTTATAATCACTGTGGAACCTAAGGGGTTAATCCTCTGCATTGTTTAAAAAGGCAGTTTGATCCTGTCTTCTCTGTTCCTCCTCTTGTTCAAATGTCCACGTCTTATCTCCTGATAAGACAGACAGAACCCATAGACTTTCTGCACATGCTCAGTGTAGTGTGTATTGCTAGAGAAGTTTTTTTCTTTTCTTCGGAGAGTGCATGTGATCAGCACAGGGCCAATCAGCACTGCCCAGACAGAGGTCAGGGGTTCTCCTCCTACAAACTTTAACCAGTGCTGAACACTGATAGAAGTCACAAGACTGCTATATACTGCTGATGAGAAAAGGCATTTAGCAGTTTATATTTACTAAAATAATTTAATTTCCATGTTCTGTGTACCGAGGGAGACCAGATATAGTGAATGCAGGATCCGGGGAGACCAGATATAGTGAATGCAGGGTCCAGGGAGACCAGATATAGTGAATGCAGGGTCCGGGGAGACAGGATATAGTGAATGCAGGGTCCGGGGAGACCAGATATAGTGAATGCAGGGTCCGGGGAGACCAGATATAGTGAATGCAGGGTCCGGGGAGATCGGATATAGTGAATGCAGGGTCCAGGGAGACCTGATATAGTGAATGCAGGGTCCGGGGAGACCCAGATATAGTGAATGCAGGGTCCAGGGAGACCAGATATAGTGAATGCAGGGTCCGGGGAGAGCGGATATAGTGAATGCAGGGTCCAGGGAGACCAGATATAGTGAATGCAGGGTCTGGGGAGACCAGATATAGTGAATGCAGGGTCCGGGGAGACCAGATATAGTGAATGCAGAGTCTGGGGAGACCGGATATAGTGAATGCAGGGTCCGGGGAGACCAGATATAGTGAATGCAGGGTCCGGGGAGAGCGGATATAGTGAATGCAGGGTCCGGGGAGACCAGATATAGTGAATGCAGGGTCCGGGGAGACCGGATATAGTGATTGCAGGGTCCGGGGAGACCAGATATAGTGAATGCAGGGTCCGGGGAGACCAGATATAGTGAATGCAGGGTCCGGGGAGAGCGGATATAGTGAATGCAGGGTCCGGGGAGACCAGATATAGATATTGCAGGGTCCGGGGAGACCAGATATAGTGAATGCAGAGTCTGGGGAGACCAGATATAGTGAATGCAGAGTCCTGGGAGACCAGATATAGTGAATGCAGGGTCCTGGGAGACCAGATATAGTGAATGCAGGGTCCGGGGAGACCAGATATAGTGAATGCAGGGTCCGGGAGACCAGATATAGTGAATGCAGGGTCTGGGGAGACCAGATATAGTGAATGCAGGGTCCAGGGAGACCGATATAGTGAATGCAGGGTCCTGGGAGACCGGATATAGTGAATGCAGGGTCTGGGGAGACCAGATATAGTGAATGCAGGGTCCAGGGAGACCGGATATAGTGAATGCAGGGTCCTGGGAGACCGGATATAGTGAATGCAGGGTCCGGGGAGACCAGATATAGTGAATGCAGGGTCTGGGGAGACCAGATATACTGGATGCAGGGTCCTGGGTTTAGTAACACTTTAATCACTACGGGCTTTTTTATTTTAAGCTATATGACAAAATACCAAAAATTAAAAAAAAAAGAAAACATGTTTTTCTTTGTTTCTGTTATAAAAGTTTGTACATAAATAATCATCATAAATTTAGGCCAAAGTGGATTCTGCTACATTTCTTTGCTAAAAATAAATAATCCAAATGAGTTTATGATATTTAGTCTGTAGGGAATTTATAGTCTACAATCTTTGGTACTTGAAAATAAATCATTCCTGATGTACTCACTTCCTCAATTCCTGAGTCCCTAAAATGTCAGGACAGTACAAAAACCCCCCAAATGACCTCTTTTTGGATAGTAGACACCCCAATATATTTAGTAAGAGCATGGCGAGTTTTTCAAAGTTGTAATCTTCGTCACAATTTTTTGGAAATTACATAAACATTTTTTTTCACATT